TGTACACTGGTACAGATAGGAACTGGAAATACAGGGAATCCAGGGCAGATGATCCCTTCAGGACCAGTGGTGTGAGTGGCGATACTGGGAGGGTAGCGGGAGAGTGGGTTGGAAAGAGGGAACCGATTACAAGGAACTATATGCGACCTCCTCCCTGGGGGATGGGCAACCGAAAAGTGGGTGAAGGGAGACGTCGGACAGGGTAAGATATGACAAAATAATAATTTATAAATTACCAAGGGTTCATGAGGGAGGGGGGAGCGGGGAGGGAGGGGAAATTGAGGAGCTGATACCAAGGGCTCAAGTAGAAAGCAAATGTTTTGAGAATGATGAGGGAAACAAATGTACAAAAATGCTTGACACAATGGATGTATGTATGGACTGTGATAAGAGATAAAATGATTTTTTTAAATGCGGGGGGGCCTGGAAGCATAGTGGATTATGTGTTAGGCTACTAATTGCAAGGTCAGCAGTTCAAAACCACCAGCAACTTTGAGGGAGAAAGATGAGGCCTTTCAGCTTCTGTAAAGAGTTATTAGAGACTCAGAATCGGGGCAATTTTACTTTGTCCTACGGGGTGGCTATGAGCAGGAAACAAGTCCATGGTCATGAACTGAGATGTGATAGAGTGGCGTGAACATGGCCTCTTTGCGTGGCACTCATTCTTGCTAAGACCACATGACTTAAGGCTGGTCATGAGGAAACACCAGGCAGACCTAGGGTGGAAGTCAACCAAGGTATTGAAAGCCTATTCTCTGTAAACCTTTCAAGGGCATGAAAGATGAGGAAAGGCTAATATACAGCTTCCAGTTGAAAGAGTCTGAGGAGACATGATAACTAAATCCAATGCCAAGACCTGGATGTGACCCAGGGGCAGAAAGCAAGAGAAAAGGACATTGTAGGTATAGTTGGCAAGGTAGACTTTGTAAGGTGGCAGGGTAGCAGTGCTCGTCGGGAAAGTTGCATGCCATTGTGTAAGACAGTGTCTTTATTTTGGTAAACACGTCAATCATTTAGGGGAGAAGGGTCAACATGTCTGCTTTGTCTCAAAAAATGCTAATGACAGTGGTAAATACAGAGGGAGCAGAAGATGGAGCTAATGTGCTGTAACTGGGGAATCCGGCTTGAAGGCACTCGGGAGTTTTTAATATTATTCTGACAACTTTTCTCTAATTTAAAACTGTTGCTATATATTCTTTTTAAAAAGTGTCCACTCAAATCTGAAATAAAGTATGAAATGCATGTCCCAAAACCAAACTCACTGCCATTGAGTTGCTACTGATTTATAATGATTCTATAGGACAGCGTATAACTGCCCTTGTGGGTTTCTGAGACTGTAACTCTTTATAGGAGTAGAAAGCCCTGTCTTTCTCCTGAGAAGTGGCTGGTGGTTTTGAACTGCTGACCTTGAGGTTAGCATCTCAAGCCGTAACCACTATGCCACGAGGGAAATGCACTTATGATTGATAAAATGCATATCAATGTGAAGGGTACCCATATTATGGTTTCAGGTTTGCTTATGTTTGTTTCATGCTCCAGTGGTTTAGATACCTCCCCAAAACATTAAGTGGAAAAGATTAATTTGTTCTTAATCATATGTGTTAGTCCGGGTTGACTAGATAAAAAAATCCAGGAAACTCCTATATGTATAAGAAAGAGCTTTATATACAAGAGCAATTGAATATTGAAAAAACATCCCAGCCCAGTCCAGATGAAGTCCATAGTCCAGTAGTATGGACTTGGTAGAATGCATTGTTTGAAATTTAGTGAACAAAATGGAAATTTGACATCTACCTCACATCTACCTCACTTCACTTTCACTACCTCACAATATTATTGGTATCCCATATGTCTGATACTAATCTATAAATTACTCTTCAGATTCACAAAACACATGAAATGACACCAAATACAAGAAGATCACAGGCCAGTGGGTAGAAAGTCTTGTGGATCCAGTGGTGGTATAAGCATCTCAGCGCTGGCATGGGTCCTCATGTGGCTCCTCCAGCTCCAGGGCACTAGCGTAACTCCGTGTCTTGTCCACAGGAAGATGAAGCAAAGAGAGCGGCTCTGGCCTCCAGTGAGCTATTTATTTCCTTAGCGCCTCCAAATGAGGTCATCAAGATGAGACTTGATTGACAGGTTAGACTCCACCCCTTCACAAGTTGACAGGTGATTAAGTAAATGCCACATCATACCTTTCAGAAGCCAAGCTATTCAGATCAAGAGGGCAAAATCTTTAAAAAACTAAACTAAACGAATATACTTAGACTAAGAAGGCATAGCTAAAGCTCTTCACTTAAAGCCAAATAGCCTTAGAAACAACTCGTCTCTTTTTTCCACAAAGTTGGCAAATGCAAATATGAAAGTGAGGTAGATGTCAAATTTCCATTTTCTTCACTAAATTTCAAACAATGCATTCTACCAGGAACTCGCAGCAAAACTGGCCTGGTGGTTGTTAGTTACTATCAGGACGATTTCAGCACATGGCAACCCTGTGGGAGGGGAGGGAGACTGCTCCATGGGCTCTTGAGGCTGCAATATTTCATCAGCAGATCGCCAGACTTGTCTTCTGAGAGCCTCTGGGTGTGCTCAGAGTGCCAGTGTTCCAGCTATCAGTTGAGTGCTTAAGTATTTATGCAATACAGGGACTCCAAGGTTGATCTAGCCTGCTATAATCTTTTGATCAGTCTCATTTCATCTGTTGTATGTAATTCTATCAAATAGAGAATTTAAAAATAATCATTTGAAAGTAGCACCTGTCCCAATTGCTAGAATGATAGCAATAATTCACATAAAGTGTTTTAGGAGTCCCTGTAACATTGTGGGCTATGCTTTGGGCTGCTAGCTGTGAGGTAAGCAATTCGAACCAACCAGCTGGTGCTCAGGACAACGATGAGGCACTCTGCTCCTGTGATGACATACAGCCTCAGAAACCCTATGGAGGATGCCATGAGTTGGAATCGACTCAATGGTAGTGGGTTTGTCACTTAGCAGCACCTTAGAAGATGTGGTGTGGAAAGCTGAAGCTATCAAAAGGTAAGCAAAGTGTTAGGTAACCAGGCACAGTTTTGTAAACCCTTTTTGATGAACAAACTAATGAACAAACTAATTGCTGTGGGGAGTGTGCGTTTCTCTCTGGAGGTAACGTGAGCATTGCTGAGCTATTTGAAGCTAGCAAAGTGGCATACAAACGGACTAGTGATGAGAGACAAGCAATGAAGACAAATATCACTATGACTACACAATAAAATATAGTACCTCCAATTAAATACGCCTTCCCAACTAGTAGATAAATTGATATGAAGTATTTGGCAGCAGCATTTTTTTTTTCTCTTTAAGCTAAGAAATGGCAACCTACAGGACGTATACAGCGGGAGAAGGATGTGGCCATTGGCTTGCATAAGAATGTGCAGCCTGGGAAATTATAGAGCAGTTCCATTTTGCCCTATCCGGTGGCTATGAGATCAAACCAACTCTCGCAGTGGGTTTGGTTTATCCAGTCTTAGGAACCCTGGTGGTGCACTTGTTCAATGCTCCGCAGCTAATGGAAAGATTGGCCATTGGCACCCACCAGCCGCTCAGTCGAAGATAGATGCGGCAGTCGGCTTCCATGAAGATCAGCCTTGCACAGCGGTTCCACGCTGCCTGTCAAGTCAAGGTTGTCTCTGAGAATGGAGTCGAGGACCATGGGCTTGGCTTTTAGTTTTTCTAGTATTGATTTGCTGCCACCTGCTGGGAGGCAGAGAGGGGTGTCTAGCATAAGAGTGCAAGAGTGACAGCCTCACAAGTCCTTAACGTTCGCTTGGCCCATTACAGGAAATGTAATCCAGGTAACGCTGCATCTCAAAGAAATCAGAAACTTTTGAATGTGAACTGCATCTAAAAAGGGCAGTCCACTGTTTTTCACGGAAGAAAAATTAGAACCTCTACTTACTGGATATTCTCTCACTCCCATCTAGTGGATTCCTTCCAAGGCACAGCAACCCTCTCGAAGAGGTTTCCAGGATTGCAGAGAGCTTCAGCATTGTCCCTAGGATGAGTTCAAATCAACAACCTTGTGGTTCACAGCCTACCACTTAATACCCTTTGCCACTTTAATGACTCTTAGTAAGACAGAATACCAAATCTACTAACTGAAGTAATACTAATAATGGTAGGGGGAATAATGTCTTCTCAATACCTACACCCTAATTCCTAGTGTACAGAGTACAACCAAGAGCCACAGATGATAATTTTTAGCCTAGCTGGCACTTTCAAGTAAGCGCTAGACTGCTATTCACAGGGCCAGCGGTTCAAACCCACTAGCTGCTCTGTGGGAGACAGATGAGGCTACCTGCTCGTGTAAAGATCAGAAGCCTCATATAGGGTCACCTGGAGTTGCAATAGTCTCCGTGGCAGTGGGTTTTTGTTTTGTTTTTTTTTGGTCAGAGGGGGCGGGACAGGGGGCGGGCGGGGGGGTGGGGGTGGTGGTGTTGAAATTAAATGGGTGATTGCCCAAGTAGATTTTGAAGTTGCTTGGGGCCAGCGATTCCTTTTTTTCTTCCATGTTATCCTCCCTTTTGTAATGGGAATATCTGCAACCATTATCCTGTTTGGTGTCTTTTGGAAGCAGGTAACTTGCTTTTTAATTTCACGATCCATAGATGGTAAGGAATTGCTGTCCCAGAATTGATTATCCTCTGCGCCTGAGCCATAGTTGAGTTCGTTGATGAGACTCAGCACCTATGGGAACTTAGACAAGATGCTGTAAGGGTTGACATTTTGGGAGGTCCTGGGAGAGGGCAAATGGCTCATGCATGTGGATGGACGTGAATGTTTGAGGGCCACAGGGCTGACTGTGGTAGAAAGATATTCAAACCCTAATCATTGGAATTTGGCCAAAATAACTTTGCAGATGTAATTAAAGCCAAGGGATTTGAGATCAGGATATCATTTTGGAATATGAGTGAGCCCAATTTAATCATGAGAATCTTTAAAACTAGAGAATATCTTTCAGTGGTGGCTAGAGTTATGTGACTGGTGGGAAAAGGACTTGACGTGATGTTACTAGCATTGAATATTGAGGAAGGGGTGCATGAACCCAGAAATACATGCAGCCTATAGAAGCTGGCATGGGAAGAGAAACCAAGCCCCCCCCTCCCCCGAACCTCCAGAAAAGGATAGACAGCTGGCACCTTGATTTTTGCCCAGTGAGACCTGCATTGGACTTCAGACCTGCAGAACTGAAAGATAATAAACTTGTCTTAAGTCACTGAGTTTGTGGGAATATGTGACCGTTACAATTCATCACGACTACACTGACCAGATGGATTGACTCAGTGGCTGCAGCAATATAGGCTCACATAGAAGAACAATTGTGAGGATGGCACAGGACTGGGCAGTGTTTTGCTCTGTTGTTCACTGGGTCACTATGAGTCAGAACGGACTTGAAGTCCCCTGACAACAATGGCAATAAAGTCAGCTAGCAGGAACCCTGGTGGTACTAGTGGCTAAGAACTGACTGCCAAGCCACATGGTTAACATTCCACACCCATCAGCTACTCCACAGCAGAGAGATGAGCTGTCTGCTCCTGTAAAGATTTACAGCCTCAGAAACCGTATACGGATTCTCCAAGAGACAGAATCAACCACACCCATGGGTTTGGTTGTGGGTAACATTTCTGCAGGGGTTTCTCACCTGAGAACTCATTTAAGAAAGGAAGTCAAAGTATCTCTGAAGGCATCCAGCTCTCAGAAGAAACGACGTCTCAGATTCATTTTTCTCTGGTTGTCCAAACTCACTACCTCCAATTCTTTCTCATTCCCTCCGAAGCCTACCCAATTAGGTTTTTGTCCCTATCACACTTTGAAGTCACAGTTGAAACTTCCTGCTATAAAACTGATGTGAACTTACATGACTTTCTTCACTAGGCTTTAGCCCCACACTCCCCAACCCCAACCTCTCGGTTCTCCTATGGTCATCACTGGTTTAAATCTTTTTGTTAAATCCTCTTCTCAGGAGCTCTGAAATAAGATCTCTTAGGCCCTCATCTCAATCTATTGGCTTCCTTGGGTGGCTCCGTTTGTGCTGAACTCATTTAAAAGGTGGTGGTGCAAATTCATCCCTCAGTGCTACAGAAGTCCTGACCAGCAGCTTCTGTGGACATTAAAGCCCTAACATCCCTACCGAGCAGTCTTACTCTGCAATCCACAGAGTTGCCAGGAGTTGAAATCAACTTGTCAACCACGGGTTTTGTTTTGTTTTTCAATATGCTGATCACTCCCAAATCTATACCTCTCCACTAACCTTTAGCTGCATATTCAAGTTATTTACATGAATGTCTAGTAGGCATTTCAGACTTAACACATCCAACTCCTGCAGTCTTCCCCATAGCAGCATAAGATACTCCATCCTCCAAGTTTCTCAGGCCAGAAACATTCTTGACTTCTCTTTTTTATTCCCACTCCCAATCTAACCCATCAACAAACCCTCCTGATTCAGCCTTCATCAAACACCCCCAAATATGACCACTTTTCACCACCTTCACTGCATCTGTCCTGGCCCACCCAAGCTGTATCTCTGCTGTGTAGTGGATTGTGTTGGGCCGTTAACCACAAGATCAGCAGTTTGAACCCACCAGCTGCTCCCCAGGAGAAAGATGAGGTTTTGTGTTCTCATAAAGATTTACAGCCTTGGAAACTGTACTAGTCCAGATGGACTAGAGAAACAAATCCAGGGAGACTCATATGTGTATAAGAAAGAGCTTGATAACAAAGAATAATTGAATATTAAGAAAACATCCCCCCCCCCAAAAAGAAAACATCCCAGCCCAGTTCAAGTCTATAAGTCCGACATTAGCCCATATGTCTGATACCAGTCCATAAATTCCTCTTGACTCATGCAACGAATGCAATGACACTGACTATAGTAAGATCAAAGGCCAATGGGTGGAAGTCTTGTGGATCCAGTCGCAGTGGAAGCATCTCAGCACTGGCAGAGGTCTCCACAGGGCTCCTCCAGCTCCAGGGCTCTGGCTCCATCGCATAGCTCCATGTGGCTTGTCAGCAGGAAGACGAAGCACAGAAAAAGTGTGTGGGTCCTGCCTCCAGGGAGGAAGACAGGAGTTCCCAGATTCCTTAGGAGAAGGCCATGCCCACACAGAGGCTTGATTGGCTATGACCTGATTGACAGGCTAGACTCCACCCTTATAACCTATTTAACAAGTTGACATGAAATTACGTAACTACCACAGAAACCCTCAGGGGCAATTCGACTCTGCCCTTTGTGATGAGTCAGAATGGCCTCAGTAGCAGTGAGTTGTTTTTGAGTATAGTGCCTGGCATATACCAGCCACTTGCTATATATTTGCTGACATTACTCTAGGACAACATACACAGCCTAAGAGATGAAAACATGAAATGCATGATATACTTGTACATTAATATCACTTGGATTAATAAAGGGGTCTCAGTGTACAGATTGAGCATCACGTGCTTTCAAGATTGTGGTCATTTCTTAAAGTGACATTTTCCACAGTTCTTAAATATGGTACACCATTTCTTAGGGTTAGATGGTAAGAAAACTACCACTTAAATAAACATTGCATGGTATTAGTATTTTAAAGCTAAAATGGCAATTGTCTGGGCAATCTTCCCCCAACTATTTATTTTGAAAAATTATAAACCTACAGAAAAACCGAAAGCTTAGTTTCACCTAGCACAATATTGGGTAATTATATAATCTATTGTCAATTTGAGACTATTAAGAGTAAATAGGTAGAGTTTAGCCTGTCATATCAGGTCGCAGCTTGATGACCTCATTTGGAGGTGCTAAGGAGATAAACAGCTCCCTGGAGGTGGGACACAGGCTTACTCCCTGGGAGACATTACTGATAAGCCTGATGGAGCTATGCTGATGTAGCCAGAGCCCTGGAGTTAGAGGAGCCACATGGAGACCCACATCAGCACTGAGATGCTTCTACTGCCACTGGATCCACAACTTTCCACCCACTGGTCTGTTATCTTCCTGTTTTGGAATCATTGCATGTGTTTTGTAAGTCTGAAGAGAAATTTATAGTTTGGTATCGGACATATGGGTTAATATTGGACTTATGGACTTGATCTCGACTGGGCTAGGATGTTTTCTCCATACTTCAATTGCTCTTGTATATAAAGCTCATTCTTATACATATGAGTGTCTGTGAATTTCTCTAGTGAGCCTAAACTAACAATAATTGCTACCATCATGCCACATTCTCAGTCTTTCTCATCGGACACATACTTTTCTGGCCTAGGCTATCTGGTAATGTCGTGGTTAGTGGCTATGCATGGGGCTGTGATATACAAGGTGAGTAGTTAAAAGTTTATTGTGCCAACCTGGCCAATAAACACAGGAGGGGTTAACTGAAGGGCAGAGAGAAAAATAGCTCAGTGAGCCTCGCCTTTCTAGTTCTCAGGTCTCTTGCTTTGTGATGGTCAGACCAGGATGCAGCTGCCTTAGCCAGTTCCCTGATCCAGATGGCAAGGCTCACTTCTTGCAAGACATCCCTGAGAAGCTGCATGGACTTACCCCGATGCAGCCTTGGGTGCTGGAGCAGCCGTGT